ATTATGGATATATGGGAAGGATATAGGTGGTGCAATTCCAACTGGATCAACTTTGTCTGATTCTGTTCGTGTCTCACTTTTCTGCTTTGCTTTTCAAGTGGGGGTGGGGAGACGTACGGAGACGACCAGGAGAAGAAAAAAGAACCAGAAGACATGGTCCCTGACCCTCTCTGTGTGTACGTTTACATACATGTATTGATTTGATATTGAATCCCATAAACTATGCATTTCTGGGGTTTAGATAAAGCCACACTTTCTTCTACCTCTCCTCCACCCATCCATGTCGATCCTTTCAAGAAAAATAAAAAAAAAACATCATTGGATTGGAGGAGCCAAGAGCCAAGAGCCAAGAGCCAAGAGCCAAGAGGGAGGATTTGTTTCTGAACGAGACGAGAGCATAATGCATTGGTTGGTTAAGACTTAAGAGCCCTTAAGAGCCCAATAAACAAATTACAATAGAGTCACGTATCCAATTAAGTCCATGGTCATCAATCCTGGGCAGCCCATGCCAAAATCTACGCATTACTTTCACCCTGTTAGTTAACTTATCTTTTCTTTTTTTCTTGAATATTTATATTTTCTTTATAGCTAGCACAACTGAAATGAGTAAAAATCTGCCTTCCATTCAATTCAACCTCGGAAAAATAACAGATGCATATAAAAATACACTAGCCAATAAACCCTTTTTTTAATTACCAATCCTATTTAATAATTGGCGATATGGACCCGGAAAATTAAAGGAGCTACCTCAATAATTAACCTGAAAATTCATGCACTACGCCTTTTCCCTCTTTTTCACATGATTAGTCGTTCGCTAATCATCACTATCTAGCTAGTTGGGTATGTGACACACGCACATTAGTTATTAGTATTAGCTAATTAGCTAGCTAGGGAATACTTAGGGACCATAGATACCCCCTTACCTCTCTACTATATATATATATATATGTGCGCGCCCAAGTTGGTTTGGAAGAAGGAAAACATGCATAGAAAATACAACTAATATAATTAATTAATTTGAAGACATAAGCAAGCAATTGATCGACTGTAATTTACACAAGAAATTAATTAATCCCGAACTTAGAGTAGGGTGAGAGTGTTAAGCAGCGAAACCCTTGCGTTAATCAAACTCCTGAAAACTGTTTCAGAGCAAGTTTCAATGGCGGCGATAGAGACCTCCAATTCCTGCATTCTCTTCAATGTTATTTTCACCTCTTCCTCTCCTTTCTTTCTTAAATTTCGTAAGCTCTCAACTCCAATATTATTGACTTGTACTACTTTAATCCTACTATGATCCTCCTCGCCATCCTCAACAGCCTCCTTGCACCTCATCAACCCCATTGAAAATAATATTCCCATCCACGACCACCTTGACGACAAGATGTTCGATTTTGATGATGACGTTGTTGGGCCGCCGGATGAGAGTGCTGCAGCAATTCCGTTAAACAGGGCAAGAGACACCGTCACCGTCACTTGAACGACCTCGCTCATAACCTCAGCCAGCTCATGATTAACAATATTACTAGTAGAATAGTAATTACTGTCGCCGACAGGCTCCAACGGCGCGGCTGCAGGTCCTGGCCGTCTAACAATACAACGAACTGCTTTGACAAGGTTGATCATTTCCTTGGCCATTCTCTTTCTAGCTTTGACGTACAATGCTATCTGGGAGTCGTCTCTCTTCCTCAAAGCGACTTGAGCTGCAGAGTTGTCCTGTTTGAGAGCGAAAACTGAGGTACGGAAGATTCCATAGACGTCAACAAAGCGAAGGAATTGGTCTAGAAGGTTGTCGAGCCAGCAGCAGGCGGCGGAGTGGGAGCGCAGGCGGCGGAGGGAGTCTTGGGTTTGAGGAAGGCGGAGAGTGTCGTCAAGGCAGTGGTGCAAGTCTTTGAGGCGGGTCAAGCCTTGGCAGAGCCAATCGGAGAAGGAGAAAGAGGCCGTCGCCCATGATTGAAGGTGAGCGATGTGATCCTTGAGCTGGGAAATCAAAGGGTGAGATCTGGTTGGGAGACTGATGGATCTGGTGTGATGAGAGAACATGGGTGCTCGCACTTTGGCCTGACGGTTATTTGGATTGATTTTGTTGGGGAAAGAAAGCGACCGAAGGAAAACGCCCGTCATAATGTCTTCGAGTTACGTACGTACAGCTACAGGCTGGAGGCTTTATATATATATATATAGGGTTGTAGAACGCTGTTGAGATCGACATGTATATATATACTGTGTATGTGGATGATCAATAATAAAAAATCAATAATAATATTATTCATTGGATGAATTGATGATCTATTCTATGGGCAAGTTAACTTAATCATACAGCTGATCGCTGAGCTGTTTTTATATCTTCTTCCTTCTACTCCACAGTCTACTCCCTCAATCAATCGTATGGTGTGGGAGAGGGAACAGTTCCACGTGGTCAGTTCAATCTTTCTTTTTCTTTTAATTAGGTAGCTAATTCTTTATTTTTATTTTTCTTTTCTTATACAACTTGTGCAAATAATTCTGAAAGATAAAACTTTTTAAGAAAAATTAATAAGAAACGCTTGCAGTCAGAGTCAGTCATAAATTGGGGTGTGTCTACGGTCAACTGAGTCTGACCATTGACCAGGCTGGAATCCCAGCAACGTCTTTAGCTCTTAATAATTGAAGTTAAATAAAATAATATTTAACCAGCTAGATGGCCTCCAAACGCAGCGTTGCAACATGCATGCTTCATCATATACGACATGACAGACATGCCTGAGCCTGACCTGAAGAATGTCAAATAATTATTATAGGTGTTCATTTTATATTTACACAAGAATTCGAAATTAAGTCAGAAATTCCGTGTCCCACCACGGGCCATGACTCCCATCCCTCTCTTTAGGCATTATTTTATTATATATAACGGCGACGTGAAGTGAAGATGGTATATATAGGCTTAGCATATGGATGATCAAGTATATTTTGTCAAACGGTAGGGATGGATCATCAAATATATATATATATTAACGGTGGAGTGTTTCACGTTTGTATTTTTGCAAAGTCATGATAATAAAGATAAATTAAACACACATGCCGTTAGATTATACACAGTGGCATTGAGTCACCCCACGATATAGAATAGGAAGGTATCTTGTTTTTATTTATTTATGATTTTTGAAAACCTTTTCTATTGAGATGAGTGATAATATATTAAATTCACACAGACACTACACAGATGCTAAAATTCAAACCAAAACCTTTCTTAAAGTAACAATTGCTCAAAATCACTATCCTAATGAATCCTTTGTAGGAAGGTATCTTGTTTACTTATTATAACAACCAAGAAAGTGTCACATTCATATCAGTATTTATTTTATTAATTTTCAGGACATGCGGTGGATTGGTCCAGAAAAGCTAGAGTGTTGGAGGTCGGTGTTTTGTTAAAATATGGTTGATAAATATATATATATATATATATATATATATATATATATATATATATATATATATATATATATATATA